CTGCAGGCAGCTGGGAGGAATTAGCAGCCCTGGGCTGCAGGGTGCATTAAGCCCTTTTAATTTTCCTCCTTCTCAAAGCCATCGAGGGGCACAGAAAAGAAGGAAAGGCAAATGTCCAGGGGAAAAAAAGGAGTGTTCCCAGCGTGTGTAGAGCTGTGCCTTTGGAAAGTGTCAGTGGGAGACACATAGAAGGAATCACTCAGTTTGATGGACACAAAGCAAGGCCAACACGTTCAGATATCACCATTACAGCCTGCCAGACTCAGCGTTATCTCAGGACAAAGTATGGTTTTGGGGGAGAATCAAACCAGAAAACTGTTCTGCAGGAATGAATGACGGAGGGGGTCAACTCCCTACTAGTGAAAAAAATAAATCCTTAGAGAAGACCTGCCCAGTTTCTACAGCTACAAAGAATGAATGCTATCAGAATACTGGGCAGATTGTCAATTTATTTCTGATAAAAGCTGGATGTCTAACAGTTGAGGTCTTTAATACTTTTCAATTAAGACAGCCAAGACGGTGACAATGAAAATGGACTGCAGAAACTTAAGGAGGGCTGAATTCCATACAAAAATGGATCAAGATTTGTTAATGCACAGGGAATGGAAAATACAAAATGCAAAAGAGTTTGTGACAGATCTAAGACCTGAAAGACGAACATTTTTTCTGGAGGGGGGAGAAAGGGAGTTGGGGAGGATGGGATCTAACCAGGTCCCTGATAAGAGAACAGTTCCTCACAGCCATTAAGACACACACATGAAGTCAGAGGCGAGCTCATGAAAGACCCAGAAATAACTCTGGCAAACACATCTGGAATCTGCCAAGCAAAGGAAGTCACCCAGACTTGACTGAAGCTCACAGAGTGCAGGCTGTGCTGATACTGTGACCACGATAGTGTGCAAAAACCACTGTAAGTAAAGAAATAGAGAAGAAACCGCCCGTGGAGCTCAGAGTCCAAAACAACAGCACGAGACTCAGAATCCAAACCCCTGGCCAGAGTTTAAAACTATGCGAGAGCCATAGTTCTTGAGAAGATGGCAAACAAGGCCTGGTGAGTTAAACGATGGTAACACCAGCACTGCTGCTTCTGGGGCAGTCTGCCCAGCATGGCTACAAGACATGGTTTGGCCAGCAGCTGTGGGATGCTTACTAATTTTGTCTCTGATGCTCAAGTCAATGTAATGCCAGGAAAAGTCATATTAGCACCAAGGAAAAGATAGGTCAAAGGAAAGACCCATTAAAGAACTATAAGAATGAGATGTATGTACAGCTAACAAACTGGAAACAAAACAATTGTCTAAGACAATTGTGGTGAAGAAGGGAAACCATCGTAGCATGGTAAGTCTATCAAGACAATGCACTCATCTGAGAAGGAGTGACCAAAACAACCAAAGAAGGCTTGAGTGACACCTTTCGGGAGATAAGGAAGCTCTCAAAGAGTGCTGAAAGGACACAATTACCCCAAGACACAGGCCACCAGGAAAGAGAGGGCCACAGGGCCCCTCAAGAGGAGTCAAGCTTAGGCCCATTTCTCTGGAAAGGGTAGGGAAGAATTATTAGTCCAGTTGTTGAACATCTGTTCTGGTTGCTGTAGGGGGCAAAACAGACAATTCACAGAAAGACAGGACGTCCCTGACAATAAACGCTGATATAAGCAAACTCAAAGTACAGCTCAGGGTACTATCATTTTTTAATTTAAATGTTAAGTATGCTTTTGCACTTTTTATTAATCCACAGAACGTGCAGCATTTAAAAATGGAAATATCACAGCTAGAAAGAACTACAGATGTTAGTAATTAGTGGCACATTACTCACATTTCATCGTAAAACAGATGTGTGTATTATTTTAATTATAATGACTAATATAACATATGCCTTTGACATATATATAAGCTCAATGTTTTCTGTGAGTCAGTGCTTTAAGTATGGTTTTGATTTTATTTACTTTCCTCAGTTCAGTGTCAGAGAAGGAAAGTATATTTGTTACATCCTAAAAGATCAAAAGAAGCAGAGAAAGTCTGTGTATTATGGGAAACCTGTGTTTTGACAGTGCACATTTGCAACTGGTAAGTGGAATGTTACGATCTCCAGCTTCACTCAAATTACTTCTCTTTAATGATGATATATCCTTACCCTGAGGCTGTACCACAAACAATTATGGAACATTTTGGAGCCTGCATTGTATGCTATTACTTTTAAAAGATAGTATCCTGCATCCCTTTCTTCCCCTACAATCTTTTTGTCTTCAGAGAACTGTCTAAATACACTCTTTTTTGAAAATTACTTGCATATGCCATGGCTTGTGTTATGGTCATTTAGCACTGTGGTCATTTACTGTAGGACTGGCTTTTCTTTTCAAATTGTTGACTGCACTGACAGTCAGAGAGAAGGCTGTGCAAAAAATAAATAAATCAGACTTCAAGAGCAGAATCACCAGCAAGGCATCCAACAAGGTACTAATACACTGTTGTGGTTTGGGCCAGGTTGGCCAATGACATGACCACATGCTCTACCCCACATCTTGCTCCAAGGACAGGAAGAAGAGAAAGAAAGGGATTTATGAGTTTAGGAAAAAACTAAACTACTTTAATGAAATACTAATAATAACAAGAAAACCAAAACAACAAAATAGATGCAATATATAAAAAAATATATACTAAACTGTATCAAGGTTCCAGGGAGAACTTACCAGCAGCATTGGGAAAGTTCCAGACTGGTCTTGGTGACAAACAGGAATTGGGTTCCAGAACACTCTCGATGAGGATCAAAGGTAAACAAACAGGGTCTTCCTCAAGGCACCAGTCATCAAGGTAGCCACTATAGAAGAGCCCTTGGGAAGGAGCCAACCTGACCCCTTTGCTCCCTCAGCTGTTATACTGAGCAGGGCAGATGGGATGGAACACCCTATTGGTCAGTTTGGGTTCACCTGAGCTGCCCACACCTCCCCACAGGTGGGACCCCTCCATGGGGTAAACAACCAACTCAGCTGGCCCTGGTGGCCACAGCAACGAGTATAAGCAAGAATGACTCTCACTGAAGAAAAAGTTGGCTGTGCTCCACCCCAAACCAGGATATGTACCTTATGTGTCATTTGGGCAGAATTTAGATGTTTTCACCCACCTATCCTATATAATTTTAGAAGTTACCTAGGTTCAGATACAGACTTCCCCAGAAGATTGTAGGTCCCAGAGAAGGAGCTGAGTCTTCTCCTTTCTGTTTGTGCCTCTCCACAGCCACTCAGGCACGCACAAACCTCCAAGCCCCTCCATCAGCCTGATGAAGTCAACCCCAAGCATGGAACATCCATTTTGCACCCTTCAGTAATAACCCTTCCAACTGGAAAGCCCTTGCTCAACATCTGCTGTGGCCAACATATGTTTTGATAAAGTTGCTGCTCCACGTAACAGCGTTGCTTTTCTAAATATAATCCCACAGACCCATAAAATGCAAAGCAGAGGTATTGACTATGCCTAGGAGTGATGCTCCCCATGACCAAGGGAAGATTATTTTGGAGAACCTGAAGTGCTTCACCTAAAAGTGATGCACTGATCTTAGTATGACAAGTTTCACCCTCTCACATCCCACCGCTTCCCATTTTCTCCTGACAGATTCCAGAAATAAACAGTGGATGAAGTATTGTCATGGACCATCTTCTCAAAAGACGTAGTAAAACTCCATGGTGCCAAATTAGTAAATGACACCCTTCTTTCCCAGCTGCTGTCCAACAAATCCCAAAGTGGCAGGAAAAGCCCCCATCCTGCTGCAGCCGCTGAGATTCAGCAGACACGAAGCCATCAATAATTGGCCTCTCAGCATAATCTGGCTCCTGTCAGCTCTGCTGCTGCTCTCAGCATTGCTGTCGTAAACTTTGCTGGCAATTCCCCGGAAGTTTTTCATGTCTGACCTTTTTAAAATTTCACATTTCGTTGTTTCAGATTGCTGTACCACCTCTACCGTCGCACCCAGACACTGCTTATTGGCATTCTCCATCAGCAATCTCCACCAAAACCTTCCACTCCTATCATTGATACCTTTTGACAGACTTTAAAGTTGGAGTTGAAATATTCCATGCATAGGCTCTCCACCAGGAGGTTTCTTTCTCAACGAAGCAAATATTAGTCACCCGTTTGAAAAAAAAAAACAAACACCACCAAGGAGCTTTGCCAACATCTGCCTTAAAATCAACACAATAAGCTTTTAATACCTTCACAGGTGGGGAAAATCATTTGTCATGCTTCCAGGGGACAATCCTTGAGTTCAAAGCTGTCTTGCCCGAGTCACAGAGCATCGTTCATACAGGTTTTCTGCCATTTAGAAAGTGCAGAGGAAAAGCCCCTTTTTGTGCTTGCACAGAGGAATTTCCTGGCCACTCACTTGTCATTCTGCCCACGTCCCCACTGCCCTGCACAGACTATTGTCCAACGTAGCCATGGAGCCAGCAAATCAGACCGGACACGGCCAAAAGGGATCTGGCTGCTACTTCACCACATCAAAATCACTAATTTTAATGGGTCAGGGCCTCCCCTCCTCCATCAAACAGTGCAATTAATTTGGTGCCTTTCTAAGGTCCGTGGCTGAAGGAGTTGTCTTCTCCCTGCTTTGGCAAACACACGAGGAACTTTGTCTATTGCCTTCTCTCCTAAGGAGAGGAATGCAGGAAAAAAGATCAAATTCTTTCTTAATTCTAATTTGGTGCCTTTCTAAGGCCATGGCTGAAGGAGTTGTCTTCTCTCTGCATTGGCAGACACATGAGGAACTTTGTCTATTGCCTTCTCGCGTGAGGAGAGGAAAGCAGGAAAAAAGATCAAATTCTTTCTTAATTTTTTTTTTTTTAAATAAGTAAGCAGTGCAAATTTGAGAGTTTATACGAGGTGAATTTTCAGACAGAAGAAGTGCAAGCTCATTTTGTGATATGGCAACGCTGCATCTCATCCACGTGGCCACAGCACCGCTAAGAAAAATGTCTCTGTTTGGTTAAAGGCTGCATCCAAGCATACGGTATGTACGGTATGTGAGATGTGGCTTCTCTCGTATTCTCTGCAAAGAATCATTTAGCAAATGGCACCTGAACTTCTGTTCTTTAAAAAAGAACAGATACAGCATTTCTTTCGCTCCTTATTGTAACCTTTAAAGGAAAGAAGATGAAGAACACATAATATTTGGCACCTGACAGCTATGCGAAGGAGATGCCTTGAACTCGCTACATTATCAGCCTATTTTTCACTTAAAGGCACATACTGTACATCCTCATTTACACCATGAAAAAGAATATATCCTAAAATATTCAATATTTGAAGGACATGAAAGCCAAATGTTTTGTTTATTCAAAGTTGTGCCAAAAAATCTTCAGAGAGATCATAGAAAAACAAGTGAGGTAACTTTTTAAGCAGTTCATGGACCTGCTGGATATTTGGATGGATATTTGTCCCTTATTTTACCACTCAGCAGGAAATATAACCACTTGTCTCATCCTTAACTCCTCCCGAAGCTCAGAGGTCCAAGTTTGACCACTACTCAACCCTGTACCGCATACAAAATTTGACTGGCGCTTACTGATGAAACTGTCTCTGGTAAAGATCTTTACTGAGAGAATTTCTTAAGAAACAGTAGGTTTTTACTCCTGTTTTTAAGTTTAAAGAATCTTTTCTTAAAGTTAGCGGCTGCCAAAGTGTAGCAACACCATTCCTGACAACAGAGGAAAAGGCAAGCACGTCTTCCAGGGACATTCCTGAGGTTAGGGAAGGATTCCCTGCTTTTCTGACAACAAACTGCACTGTGGGTATGTGTGTGGGTACTTCGTTTCCAGCCTGGAATGTTTTAAAAAAAAATGCAAAACACAGAGACGCAGGATTTATTATCTGAACTTAAGAAAAGCAGAAAGAGAAGAAAGTCTTGGGGCACATGGTAGAAACCAGAGATAAGAGGGCAAGATGCTGTGCCTGAGTAAAGCAAAGTAGGTCGGAGACAAAATGTTGTTATTCCTTGGGATATGAAGAGCTTAAATGTCTTTTCTGTGGCCTGTTCAAGGATTTAGTATTTCTACCAAGGGAGACGACAGAGAGCATGAAACAGCATCAAAGAAAATAAAGCTAGAAGAGTTCTTCAGATCTCTTCCAACATCTGGTCCAACATCCTTCTGAAAGGCTTATCAGCTACAGTTAGACCACTTCTGACAAATGAATTTGAAAACCTCTCATAATGAGGGCCCCTCACTTCCCTATTCCAGCCCTTAACTGACGTTTTGGGTAGAAAGCACTTTCTAATATCTAATCTCACTTCCTGCACCTCAGTTTCTCATTTGGCCATCACTCATGTAGCACCAGGCAGCAGCAGTGGCCGTTTGAGTGTCCCAGGGCAGGTTCAGTGATTCTTTCCTGATCAGCTTCACCTCAGAAGGTTTTCCCTCTGTAATTATCAGGCTTCAATCCTAACAAGGCCACATCCATGTGGGAGCCACTTTGACCATGGGGAGGAGGGATATGTTGATAATTTCTGTCTCTCTAGCCCAGAATGAAGGGATAAAGGCGCATGTAGCGTGGTCGGGCCCCATTGGTGAGGATCTGAGATGATACAACACCTTGCTGAGGCAGTGAGTTACAAAGCAAAGCTGGAAATGTCTCCTGGGAACACACTATTGTGTGTTTTCCCTGCCCATCCTACACTTCTTTAAGCGTGCCCCATCCTTGGAGGGGTTCAAGGCCAGGCTGGAAGGGTCTTTGAACAACCTGGTCTAGTGGGAGGTGTCCCTGCCCAGGGCAGGGGGTTGGAACTCAATGATCTTCCAACTCTAACCATTCTACGATTTTATGATTTGCCATCAGCCACAGTCAGAAAGAGGACACTGAGCTGGAGATGGATCATTGCTTTCCCAGTAGAGTCGTTCCTACACATCCTGTCGACAACGAGGCAGTGGAACACCTCTCAGGCTGAAGACCTGGAGATAAATTCTGGACACCAAGTTTTAAATACGCTGCCAGCACGGGGTGTGCAGAAAGCACAGACCAAATCCCACGAGGCAGGAGACTTCAGAGCTCAACCACGTCCCTCCAGTCTTCAGGAGAGGCTTGTGCTTCCTCAGACTTGGTGGCAATGCTAATCTGGGGAGACAGACAGGCCAAACCAGAGGATGGCGTGGTGCATGGCCAGGGAAACTCTCAATGACCGTGTGGTTCTGGAGTCAATGCCCGTTCTGAGCCGGGCAGAGTGGCATCAACGGGGGCACAGCGGGTAGCCCAGAGCACAGCACCCTCAGTAATGTCTTAAATGGGACAGGCACCTAATGAGAAGGCATAGCCAGGCCATATTAATGCTCTGAAAAGGCTTTGAAATCCATCTTAGCGTGACATCTGCTCACCTCCTGCCAGAAACATGGACAGCTAAAAGTGACATTTTAATCTCTTCGGAGAACAGAACTGGAACTGCAACGGACCTTCTCAGTGCTCCTCAGATGACAACACTATATGAAGCTGAGACCTTTTAATAAGAAGACAGGTTAAGAAGAGGATCCAGGCAGGGAGGACAGGACAGCAAAAACTGATTTCAATAACTCTGCCCCCGGGGAGCGAGGGGCTCCAGGCTCTGCGGGAAAAGGCAGCCTGAGCTGCGTCAGCTGCCACAAAGCGCTGAGTAAGCACTTTCTGAGTCAGGGCAGATCCATCCCGGCAGGAAACGAGGCCACATCGGTGCTGCCAAAGCCAAAAAAGACGTATCCTGAGGGTCAGAGGCTCCGCTCGCAGGCGTCAGCTCGCTTCCAGAGAGGCTACAGGGGGGGGCACTGCCTGACAGAGCTGTTTCCAGCCCGGGGGGTGAAAAAAGGGGATCATATGGCACTTTGGTTTGGCCCCTGGGAGTTTTAATGCATGGATGAACTCCAATATGTCAGGTACGAGGCATCAACAAGCTTGAGGGAAGGTTTTGCAAAAGCAGAAACACCTGGGGGGCTCCAAATAGGTGGGAGGGATGAAAGATTTTAACGGTGAAATAATGCAAACCACATAATTGCGACCTTTCCCGCAGGTTCCCCCCCAGTTCCATCAGCAAACCCTTCCAGTCTGGGCACAAAGGAAGGGTATGGATCACCCAGCTGCAGCCCAGAGGCTGGAACCCATCTGCGTAACATCATCCAGCAAGTCAGCAGCAAATCTGAGAAGATGAGAGGCCAGCAGTCTACGTTTTTCCACTTCCCTAGCCCAAGTAGTGCTGTCTGGCCCACAAGTTTATCCCAAGAGTTGGCAAAATGCAGATTGATTTAGGTATGTTAGGTGCTAGGCTGCCCAACAAATGCTGCTGGCAGTGCCTTAGAGGTAAGAGAGAGACCCTTGCATAGAAGTTTATGATCCTGTTCCTGGCCGTGCAAAGAAATGCTAAAACCTTGATAAGAAAAAAAAAAAAACCAACCTAAAAAGGCAGCATCACCTGAGCTTATTTATGCAATGACAAGGAGAAAAGATTCTCAGCCTCAACCACTTTACATTCTGAAGCTGGCCGTGCAAAGAAATGCTAAAACCTTGGTAAGAAAAAAAAAAAACCAACCTAAAAAGGCAGCATCACCTGAGCTTATTTATGCAATGACAAGGAGAAAAGACTCTCAGCCTCAACCACTTTACATTCTGAAATTTAAAAGAAATATCCTTTTAAGAATAAGGAGCACTTTTCATGTTACGTTAAGGGAGATCTTTCGGTGGGGGAGAAATAAAATACACAATTTGACACAGAAGAGAGAACCCACAACACATGGGGAAATGTCAAAGGTGCAGAGATCAAAAGCAGCAAAACAGCAAGACTGTGTTTTCAGGAGACTGGAGAAGCCCAGATGTCCCTCTGACTCTTCTTCTACCTGCCTTCTGTCACAGGCGAATACACCACATGAAGCCCTCTCACCAATCAATCGTTCTAGCTCTGTCCCAAAGCTCATTAGGGTTCTTGATGCAATTAAAGGAGCTGTTAGTGCATCAGTGACTGGGACGGGCTGATAAACAACAAAAAACATTGATACTGATTCCCATAGCGTATCTTTAAGCTCTGTGGGGTCCAGGCACTCACACAAGAGCTTGGGCAGTCCTTTTTGATAACTTTCTGTCAGTTTTTTGTACACATCATTAAAAGATCAGTAGAGTGAAGGAATTCATGGAGTGAGGCATGAGTTAGCTTAGCAGAATTATATGAGAAGGTCTAAACTGTCCATCCAGCCCAGTATCTTTTCTCCAACAATGGCAAACAGCAAAAGTTTTGGGAAAGAGTATACAAAATCAGCCATGCCTGCTTTCCCCCTCAATCAAGTCCAAGGACTTTCTGAGATGGAGCTTCCAGCAGGACCACCAAATTAAATAATTGCCAGTAGTTCTTGGCGAATTTGTCTGTTTCTTTTTGAATTTGCTTATCTCTTTGATAGGATTTCCCTTTGCAGAAGTCAAGTCGAATCTACAAATGTTAATTAGCTCCCCAGGCAGTACAACTTTCAACAACTCCCTCGGTTTCCTCGTGTCTGCTGATGGTTCTGTGCATTTTCCAGACCTGCCATGCTCTCCTCTGTACGGAGGCAGAAGTCTGTCCCTGGGGAAAATGAACTGCCTGATATTAAAGGCAGTATTTGGTCTCACAAGGATCAGGGGAAGCACAGACTGAATTTTCTGTGATGCTTAAAAAGCAGACATGTATTATCCTGCCCAAGTGATTACCAGGAGAGGGGTGGAGTAGCAAAATCTGTACTAATTGCCTGATCCAGGGGAGCAGAAATGCCAAAGTGCTTGTATCATCCCCACTGCACCCAATGTGAACACCAGAACCAGGCATCACCCACGGTACCTGCTGGCAGAAAGGCTAAGGCCATGTCTCTGGGGATTTGTGGGCTTTTAAATGATAAACTCTTTCAAAAGGGGCAAAGGGGGAAGAGCAGACTCCCAGGTGCCACCTTCCCTTCTCCTTTCTGGCCCAGAAGTGCTATTTGGCAAAACAAGCACAGTAACCTTGGTGGGGGATGCACCTTAAGCTGCTATAACAATTAATTT